GTGACTGCGGCAAATGCCAAGCGACCACTGGAGGAGTAGGCCATTGCGAAAAAAATATAGAAGCAGCAGCAGTGCGCGCTTAATCCTTGAAGAAAAGCTGCGCAAACCAGGGTCAACCCACAGCTTGCAGATCTAGTTGCATGATGCATGATTGAGCACATGTTTCTCATCACTAGTACTTAGCGGTCGCCTTCGCCAAAAACACATCGCTCCACACCACGAGGCCCTTGGAAGAGCAAGTGCAGTATGACGCGCATTCAACACCTGGTGAAGCAAGTGCTTTGCAAAAGTGACATAGCTTCACACATTCAGCTTTGGGCTTAAGCTTTGTAGCCCGAGCGCAAAAGCATAAGCTTGGGCAAGAGGCACTCCGTAACCTCACTGTACGAAAAGAAACAGAAGAGAGCAAAAGGGAAGAAGCAAAAGCTTTCCTCCCGTGCCCTTTGGGCCTGTCGACACCGGGCGTGTGCTGGAAGTTGTGCAAGGGCTCCTGGACTAGAATATCTCGGAACCCCAAAGTCTGAATCGAAAAAGAACTGCTGCCAGTTCCACAAGAATAGACCTTCTATCAGGATTCTTTCAACAACGAGACTTGGAATTGATAGGCTGCATGCCAAGGCTGTGGAGACAGCGTCCTTTGAACCGGTCCATGAACTTTGCATGGACTTCGCCATATGCTTATCGCCATGCCTTTACAAAAAACATTGTAGTGGGCAGTGGGAAGCGTCTAGTTCAGAAGAAGAATGTGTGCAAAGCATGGTGTGCCAGCTGTGCCTTGGCTGCGCGAGATCTCCATTCGAATGGCTCAAAATGACCACGAAGAGATCTCAAAGGCCAAATGGCAAACGGTTCTATTGATCGCGACCATGCTTTATGCTTGTTTTTCTTTGTGTGAACTTCATCGGCAAGGATCACGTGAACGTGAGGGGATTCCCATATCCGAAAGGTTACCTGACAGATTGTGCACAATTCAATGTAGTCTGACAGCATGCCTCTCAAACCCTTTTCTTCGCACTAACGTGTGGTCATTAACTTTTGGACCTCCCCAGCAACATTGGAGCAACCACTTGGAGTGTATTACAGGGCCGATTTACTTGAAAGGCAAAGTGCTCCACGCCCATGGGAAAGTCAATCAAAGCTCAATTTGGCATAAATACAGAGCCCGCGTCTGGGCCGTCTGGGTGGAGTGAGACTTAGTTGAATGCTAGGGAATACTGCCTAGCGAGGCACGACGGCATGCAGCTTTGCTCGAGTGGTTGAGCTGTTGTTCCTGCCCAGCAATCTTGCTACATGCAAGCAAATGTGTGCAATCGCTGCACATGCACACTACATTGCCTGAGTGCAAATTCTGCACGAGCCGGAACTAGAACCTGTCAATCAAGAAAGCAAACTCTGCAAATGGCGTTGGAAGTTCTGATGCTGAGAAAACATGATCAAGTTGTGTTTCAAGTTCTTGAATTGCGCGCTGCGACCCTGCATTAGTAGCAAAGCTTGGTAGTATGGCACGATGGCATGTATCATAATAGACTCAAAAAGTGACTTAAACATGTATACTGTATATACATGTGGTTGTCGTTGTGAACAAGAGAGAAGCACCATCTTGCTGACATTTCCGAGAACTCGCCTCTGCATAACGTGATAGGCTTTGTTTGAAGTTGGTCTCAGGAAGCTCGAACTCCACCTGTGAGCGGATTTCGAGCGCATCGAACCCACCACTCCGCTGGCCACTCGCCGCGCCTGACCATCCTCAGCCTCTGTGACAAAGTACAGCATTTCCAAGTCTGCGACCAGGCATCAAAGGCTCATGAAATGAAATCTCATATGCTATTTAGCACTAAACATGTGGCTGCCATGCTCAAACAAGTCAGCTATGCTTTGAGTGCCCTTCAGAACTTGATACTCGTCGATGTCTGCCCAGCATGCATCATGTGATCCCAGCCTGTACTGTTCTGCTCTACCAGCTCCTTAGCCAAATCAAGTTTACTTGAGCCTTTGGTGTACCTTGCTTGGCTAAGATTCAGTTCCACCAGGTTCAAGAAGTACAGCAGCAGTGTCGAAGGAGGGCTCGTGAAAAAGCACTGCAGCTCTGGTTCCTTCTCCTGAAAGCTACAGTCTGCACACAAAGTTCTCGAGATAGCACCCCAGCTAGACGAGAGTCTTCAGAGGCCTGGCCTATCACGCTGCTGTCTTTCTGAAGTTCGTTCTCCACGTCTTCTTCAGGCACCAAAAAGCGCCTGGGCCAGGCCGACCAAGCTCAGACTCGGAAGCGCAGGTCTGACAGCTTCACTCAGTGCGCGGCCCAGCATTTGCCCTGAGGGCAAGGCCTGCGGACACCAGTGTTCTTCAAACGAGTGGGTCTGCGACCAGTGCGCACCTGAGGCCTGTGACTCAGCTGTTTCCTCAATCTGTCAAAGCTCGCCAATGCTATACAATCAGTAAACCTTAATAGAAACTCGCCGAAACCTCAATAGCGACCTCACGAGTCTTCTGTCTCAGTTTAAACCACTTAGTCCAATGAAAAAAAACGGCGTCAACACAAAGGTCCTCAGCTTTCGATGTGCCCGTACGCCGACCTCACCAGAGTCCAACGTCGAATTGAAAATAGAAGCCAGCTTGTTGGAATGGTGCGTTACAGAATCATTCCAGTTCCTTAGAATGGATGTGCAAGCAACTGCAATAAAGTAATATAGTGGAGTCAGTCATCGCTTCAAAAAGAGAGATGCCGAGACCTTAACATACGAACCGAAGACATTCTGAGTATGTATTGGGAACAAGGACGCTACTAGGGGCTCCTGGCCTTACTAGGAACAAGGTTCGCTACTAGGGGCTCCTGGCATCGCTACTAGTAGCGATCGGACACTAGTAGGTTGGAGGGCTTCGCAAGTAGTGGGTTTCACAAGTCGGGCTTCGCCTTTTGCAGTTGATGCTGCAGCTGCGCTTGGCCGCTTTCTTGGTGGCATGGCTAAGGCATAGCAAGTGAAAGAAGCTGTGAAGAGTGCCTTGCTGTTTTGAATAGGTATCTGCATTCTTTCATGCACTCAGCACATATTGAAGTCTTTGTGCAGATCATTGCTCTGAGCCGTGTGAGTTCTGGGATTTTGCAAGTTCATCAAGTGCTTGGCAATCAAAGAAGTCTCGTGCTCTCGAAAAGGTTGCATGTGGGCTGGCTATGTGAGCTGTCTGACATGGAAAGCCAGAATCTGTGAGAAGCTTTGGCGAAAACCAAGTGAGCAACTTCACACTTGGATCCAATGGGTATGAACGGTATGAACTGTCCCACAAAGACATTGATTGGGATTCGACTCCCAGTCTTCAAAGCTTCTATCTGAGTCATGGGGAGATATACGTGCAAGTTGTTATTGATTTGCTGAGCCGCCCCGAGCGATGCAAAGTCTTTTTCAGTACGCGGGAATCATGTGCGTCTTTCAGAGCACCTTCCCTGTTGATTCTGGCCTTCCCAGTTGCTCATCACCACAGTCTGATCTCAGAGGTCACTCCGGCAACAAGTCCGGAATGGCAACGGGGGACGAAGCCTCAAAATAGTTGTTCATTCTTAAGAAGCCTGCTGTATTATTCCATTGAAAAGTGCAAGATTGCTTTTGACAAATCACAAAAAGCACAAAATTGCGCTAAAGGCCCCACCTGGGAGGTAAACCAACTTTCGTACTTGCGAGTGTCAATTGTAGGATCGGTACCATGAATTTCTTCCTGGGCTATGTTAGGTCGTGAGTGAAGCACGTATGGTCACAAGTCCATTTTCATATTCATCCAGAACCACGTGCCGATTCCGTCCTAACGAAATAGTTTTAAAAATCCCGGTGTCCTCGTAGGCGACCAGCTTGTCCATGAAGCCCAAGTTGGGCGTAACCACGGGTCTGGCTGCCCGGAGGTAAATGAATGCGTCATGCAACGTATAGTTGGCATATCGGATCATGTAGGCCAACACCACTGATGCACTCCGCGAAACGCCAGCTCGACAATGCACCAAAACAGGCATATTCTGGGAGGTCCACTGGTAGATGAAGTCCTGAATGGGCTTAACTATCACGTTCACTGCCTAGACTTCAACAAAACAAACGGCAAATCAAACACTTGATTGCATTTTGGAACACAATGGTTTAATGAACGCCTGGCCCAGCGTGCAATCCACTTGGAATGCATGTGAACGCAAAATGTTGGATATGCTCACATTCAAAATGTCGCTAGACCCCCTGAATAAGTGGACACACCCGTGAAAGTACATGAAAGTACCATCACAACAACGCAGGTTCCAAGAAAGGAGACTTGAACACATGAAACGTTTGTGGTAGAGGCCCAGAGCAAGGGCAAACCAAAAGGATACATTGAAAAAAAACTTTCTGCGGATAGATCAGGGATCAGTCGCTTCTTCGAAAAACTCTTCCAGCGGCTCTCTGCTCTGATCCTCCACGTCCACGCGGTAGTACTCGATACCAGGCACAAACTTCTTGGAGGGGATCTCAAACTCTCGGCAACAAACACAAATGGCTCGAACTCCTTGAGAGGTGAGCTGCTGAGGGTCTGATGTGGCCTCAACCCCACCCAAGTACAAGTTGTCGAGAATCTTATCGCAATTCGCAAGTGCGATCTTCCCCTTCGCTTCCTGCGAATGAAATTAATAAGCAGCACTCTTGAATTCACTGCATACTCTCAAAGATAATGTTTTCCAAACGCTGCGCCTCCCACCAAGATGTGTCGCAAAAAGAAACTCGGCATTTCAAATCATGTCAACTTGATATAACAAAAGCCACGAACCCGGCAAAACACATGTTACAAGGTAATTGAGCCGGTAGGTGGAAGTGTCATGAGTCAAAGCATAAAAACTATAGTTTTGCATGATGTGCAAAAGTGATGACTTGCTGGGCGATGCGGTGTTACGTGAAGATGTCTGATGTGTGGCGGTTTGTGATACCGTGAAGTGAAACGTGGTGATCTGTGATGTGGTGAGGTGAAGTTTCGTGAATTCTAGGGCGGTGGTCTGTGATGTGGTGCAGTGTGGTTTAAATCAAATGTCTACTCTTGGCAACATCTGCACGTTTATTTGCTTTATCTAGAATACTTGGTTTGTGGATGCTTCTCTAGAAATCACTGCGTGCCTTGTCGGGGACGGAAGCTGGATGCGGAGGTGGACGGGGTTGGGAAGGGAAGATGGAGGGGAGCGAGACGGGAGGCGCATGGGTGGGGACGGGGCAAGGGAGGGAAGATGGAGGGGAGCGAGACGGGAGGCGCATGGACGGTGCTGGGGAGAGAAGATGGAGGGGAGCGAGACGGGAAGCGCGGGTGGGGACGCGGCTGGGGAGGGAAGATGGAGGGGTGCGTGGGAGTGGACGGGGCTGGGGCTGGGGAGTGCATGGGCGTGGACGCTTGCGCGGCTGATATGCTAGTTACGAGGACATGGTTGCACCACAAGCATCATTGCAGGCTGCTCCGGGTCTGTGCACAAGTAGAACGAAGCATGGGTGGGGGTAGCGCTGCTCTAGCGGAAGCCCGTTGGGAGGTGAGTGGAGCTGTGTTGCGGGGCTGATGCGATGGTGTTGGGTGTCCAAAATGTGCACAATGCGTGCGCCAGACAGTCAAGTCATGGCCAACACGGCAGGATTGTTGCGCGCCAAAAGCGCAATGCGTGAAATTGGATGGTTGGAACGAACCATGGAGGGGGCTGCTGCTGCTCCATGCTTCCTGGAACGGTTGTCAGAAGCCATGTTGCAATCGTTTTA